CTTTTATATATTATTTATAAATACTATATATATATATAAGTATGATGTTTTTCTTTAACTCAAGAAATTCAAAATTCAAGAATTCCCTCTGTCATCGCTCAATCTTGTTAGTTTCAATCGTCGCTCAACTCTTGTCAACTCCAATTGTCACATGCAGGTGTCTCTGAATCTGCTTCAACTCTCACATGCAAGTGCTTCTTCACCTAGTGCCCAACTCCTCCTACCTTATTGCGCGAGCACCTTGTCCTTGTATTGCTTATTGCCGTAACTGATAACTTCCAATTTCCAAATACATCATATTTCACTTTTTTTTCAAGATTCACTTTAATTTAATTTTTTTAGTTAGTTATTTTAATATCATATCACTTTATTATTTCCATTATTATTTACAATTAACACTATTAATTCATTACTAAAATCTGTTACGATCATTATTATTATTCTAAAAATTAATATTATTTTCTACTATAATTATTATTAAAAAATTTAAGTGCAAGAGTTTTTAGTAATAAAAGTGGTAACATCAATAACTTTTATCTTATTGTATGTCTCGTTCACGCTAATTCGAATATCTTATTCGTCAGTCAAGAAAAATTCTTATTTGAAAAAAGATTACTCTACGCGACTGTAGGTATATTTATATATCGTAGTACATTATTTATTTAAAAAATTTCTATTCATATTTTTTTGGTTCTATATTATTAATAAAATTATGTGTGTATTTATTACACTTTTTTTAATATATTTGTGTGATTCATTATGTGTCTTTGATGTGCATATAAGGTCCAACTTAATACTAATAATATTTTTCTTTGCTTTTGTAGTAATGGAATCTAATGTTAATGCATGTGAGGTTCCAAGTGATACTAATAATGTTGTAGCAGAATCACAATATTTTCCTAAGAGACGAAGTGAGTTTTGAAAACATTTTCTCGTTATTAATTCCACAAAAACTAAAGATGGAAAAGAGTGGGCACTTTGCAAACATTGTAAGATTGTTTCCTTTATTTGTAACTCACATTATGTAACCTCCAATATGCAAAAACACTTTGAAAATGTAAACAATATAAAAGTTTGAGAACATAGAGACTAGAAGGTAATGTTTATGACCAAAAAATCTATTAAGAGTTGGTAGCTAAAGCAATTATAAAGCATGAATATGCTTTTTCTTGGGTTGAACATGAAGGTAATAGAAAATTCATGCACATTTGAACAATCAAGTTAGAAGCATATGTAGAAATACTGCAAAAACAAATGGCTTGAAGTTACATAAAAGTTTGAAAGAAAACTTAAAAGAAACTCTTCGTAATATATTTAATCGTATTTCTTTGACGTGTGATATGTGGACATCTTGTCAAACAGGGGGATATTTATGTTTAACCGCTCATTATGTGGATGTCAATTGGAAGTTAAATAATAAAGTTTTAAACTTTTGTCATACTGACTCACCGCATACTGGAAGTACTATGTATAGTATTTTTCTAGACTTACTTCAGGATTGGGGTATTGACTATAAGATTTTATCCATTACACTTGATAATGCTTCTAGTAATGATAAAATGCAGGATCACTTGAAGGAAACTTTTAATGCTCGAGGGGCTTACTTTCATGTTCGATGTGTTGCACATGTGTTGAATCTCATTATTAAAGATGGACTTAAGGTCATTGAACATATTGTTGTCAAGATAAGAGAATGTGTGAAGTATATCAAATGGTCATAAACAAGAAAAAATGCTTTTTTACGTAGTGTGAAATTAGTCAAGATAAAAGAAACTAAAGTATTGTGGCTTGATGTTCTTACAAGATGGAACTCTACATACATGATGCTTGATAGAGCTATTTTATATCGTGAAGCTTTTAAACAAATGATTGTTGTTGATTCTTCTTTTTGTCACTGTCCAAACACCGAAGAATGGGAAATGCTTGAAAAAATTCAAGATATTTTAGAACCATTCTTTGATATAACTGAGTTATTTTCAGGAAATGATTATTGTACTGCGAATTTATACTTTGGGAATGTTTGAAAAAAATTTATACTTTTAAGAAAGTTGACAATAAGTAATGATGTAGTTTTGAAAACAATGGCAATAGAAATGAAGAAAAAGTTTGATAAGTATTGGTTCAACTCGAGTGAGGATGACTATGGCACGTTGTTTACCTTTGCGGTGATTCTTGATCCTCGTTGTAAGTTGTATTTTCTCTATTATTGTTATGAAAAATTATTTGAGGATGAAACATATGTCATTTTAAAAATCTGTGATGTAAGATTTAAGTTAGAGATGATTTTTAAAGAATATGTTTCAGAAACACACATCTCACATGAATCGTCCTTAGAATCGAGCTCAAACTCAGATACTTTGAGCATGTCATCTACACATCACAAGCGCAAATTCGACCTTTTTGCAGTAAATTTCTTATATTTTTAACTTTTTTTATTTTCTATTTTTCATTTAATATATTTCATTTTTACTATCTTTTTTTATAATTTATATAATACAAGTTATATTATTTTTTTATATTTTTACAAGATTATGAAAAGAAAGAGACCATGTTTTCTTATTGTGCCAAGACACAAATAGATGTTTACTTATATGACCCCAAAATTGATACAAAAACAGAACTTGACATCCTTAATTTTTGGAAAGAAAATGAGCATCGATATGGACAACTTTCTCATCTTGCTAGGGATTTTTTTACTGTACCTCTTACAACTGTTACTTCAGAATCAACTTTTAGTATAGGAGGTCGAATTTTGAATAAGTGAAAAAGTTCTTATATACCTGAAAGTGTGGAAGCTTTGATAACATCCCGTAGTTGGTTATTCGGTTATGAATGTAAGTTTTTATTTCCTTTTAGATTTATTTCAATTTCTTATAGTAAATTTTGTTTACCACATCATCTTTTTATTATTATTATTAATCTATTTCATTTTTTATTTTGGTAAACAAATTAATAACTTCTTTTAATTTATGTAGCTACAAAGGAAGATGAGTTTGTCGGTTCTGATGTGGATTGGATTTAATTCAACAATTGATGCATATAGTATTTGTGTCTAGTGATATTTTAAGATTTAAGAGGGTTGAATTTGATTCGTTTAAACTATTTTATTGATCTTTTAAGTTTTGTTAAGAAAGTTTTATTGAGAAAATGTAATTGAGTTTGATGTGCAAGAGTAGTAACTACATATCATTTTTTATTCTTTAAATGAGAATTATTTATTTGAGATTTGTGTTTCATGTTAATTTGTGTTTATAAAAAAGTGAATTTTTTTCTTTTAAAGTTAATTAAAATATACAGTATTGAGTATATTATCTAAATGATGACAATTAATGTTAATCATATAAAACAAAATACTAGGTAGTAAATTTATTTTATAATTCTTTATTCAAAATTTTTTTCATTGTTTTTAAAAATTATCGAATCAAATATGAATATAATTTTTTAAACTAAAAATTAATATTAAATCATTAAACTATTATCAAAGGTGATATTGATATTCATTAAACTATTTCCAAAGTTGGTGGCTAACTAGGAGTATAATTAAAAAAAGAATAAAAAATATATTATTTTACTATCCATCACATTGTTAAAATATATATAATAACAATAAATCACTCGTCCATTTTTACTCATTTATTAAGTAAAAAATAGGGCAATGTTCCGTTCAAATCAAATTGGGTAAATTAAAGTCGGTTTGCTTTCGATTTGGGTTACTTTCGGTTCAAATTAATTTTTGTTTAAGTTGCTTTCGGGTCAGGTTAAATTCAGTTCATGTTTCTTTCAGTTCGGGTTTCTTTCAATTCATATTAAAATTCGTTTCTGGTTACTTTTGGTTCGGGTTAGTTTCAATTCGGGTTGCTTTTGGTTCGGGTTAAATTCGATTCAGGTTGCTTTCGGCTCGGGTTAAAATTTGGTTCGTGTTTTTTCGATTCAAGTTGATAATGTATATGTAATTTATCTCGTAGATGCATCTATTGAAATCATATAAAAAAATCACTTTGTGAATAAATGAGTCATATTTCAATCAGATATGCAAGACATTAAATCTCAACTTTGACTAGTAATGTTCTAAATTCCTTTTGAGAACAAATAACACATGAACTTCATGTTCTTTAGATTTATGCAAATCTCAATAATCTTCGCATCATTATTGATTGGGATGGTCTAACCAGCCATGTCAACTAATTAATTTTTTTCAAACTTGTAAACTTATTGTTTACCATAACATGTGATTCAATTTCAACAAAATTTATAAGCTTCTGATTTACTGATATACAGTACAAACAAAAGAAGCTAGACAATTTTAAGATACAAATTTCCTCAAAACTTGAAGTTGTTCATTCTAATAGGAATACAATACATTTAGCTATTCTAAGGCTTTCAATAAATTGAATTTAGGTAACACACGGATTACAAGTGATAAATATTGTGGTCGGTTGTCAAAATGCAACCTGAATAATTTATACCTCCAACAGATAAATACATTACTTTAAGATTTTAAGTTTTGAGGCCATTGTAAATTGCTAGCTAGCTACTTAACGCATTATAATTATTTTTAAAATATATATTAATAAAATTTTGATTGACAAATTATTAATTTAATTTATATAAATTTTGATGTATTCATATTTTAATATCATATTCATTTTAATTTTATATAAATCAATAATGTAATTTATTAATCAGAAAGCACAAATAGTTAATTATATACTTGTATTTTATTACCATTATTATCCATGGATAAGTAATAAGCAGCTGGTTAATTCTAATATGTCCATTAGCTAATCAAAGAGCAAGGCCAACACAATTTAAAAAGAGAGTGATGAGAGTGAAACGAGGAAGATGTGCATTGTCAATTTATTCATCTCACGCAAGGTCCTAATCACCCTTTCAAACAAATGTTCAATCACACTATTCATTTAGTAATGATAAGGCTAAATGTATACGCGTACACACACAAAAAAAAACAAGTGGCAAGAATTTTATTACCGTTAATATTATTATCATCACTGTTTTTATTTTATTTTTGGGTAATAAGTGAGTTCGAGGCCTCTTCCTAATGAGTCAGTTCAGCTTTAGCACTTCGATCTAAGCCTAAAGTATATATACACATTTTTACGACAAAAGCATTCACAAACTCTGGACTGCCACTGTCATGTTGAGTGAATCCCAACTTTACCAAAACTTGGGTGTCTTTGACCTCCATTCTCTCCCCTGCCAACCAAACTTGATCAACATCTTCAAGCACTCTGTCATACCATTTTAAAATGTAAAAGAAACTATTACATGTTTCAATTAGAATAATCATCCATAAAAGCTAGCTTACTCTATTTCTTTATTATTAAATAAAACTACATCATAGGCACAAACTTCTGTTACTGCTTTAGAGCATACTATGATTTCTAATTTTTTATTACCTCCTCTTTCCTTACGTCCTTCTGTAGCGTATCTGTTTCGGATAAATGAAGGCCGAAAACCTTTCAGCTTAAGAAAACATAATTCTAACAGGCTTCACTGTCACCCTGTTATCAGAGTCCATATGCAATGCAGATTTGTGTATGTATTTCCTGGATACCCTGGACCTATCCAATGTCCAAGGCTACTATTTAGGAGAGATTTGAGATTTTCGCAGCAGTGGAAAAAAGGGGATGGAGGACGGACTGAAAGGAGATAAATAATTGATTTTTCACGAAGTTGGCATCAACATAGTTTTAATTCCCATTAGTGTAAATACATTAAAGATTTTCAATGTTCTGAGGGACCGACCTCATATGAATCCTGACAGGTTTTAATTTCTGAAATTTGCGCTTTTTTAAATTCACATGCTGAGACTATTCTTTTCTTTTTGTGACCTGCTTTCCTAATGGGAGTTCTAAGTGTTTCAACACTTCCACCGATTCTCAAGGACAAGGCAAACAATAGTAAAAAGATGCTTGAGGTTCAAAATCAACTACAAAGAGGTGCATTAGAAGTTACCTCAAAGTTGTTCAATGTTTTTCTTTAGCAAGAAACCGATCCATTTCATTGTCAGCATAAAGAATTTTTGCTCCACATCCTGTTTCATCCACTGACCCAACAGCTTCTTCATCAACCAGAACCGCATTGATCCTGTGAGATTCCATCTTGGTGTTTGGAATCTGTCCAAAATGTATGGAATATACCGGGCATAAAATGAATAGACTTCTTCAAAAATGTCACTTCTAGAAAAGAAAAGGTAAACATCAATTCTCTGCAACTAAAAACTATGTTTTCTATGTAGAATATAATATAATGTCCATGAGCAGACATCTTGTCTTCTGGTGAAAGAAAGCCTGCCATCTTGTATAATGGCTTTTGGAAAAACCAGCGTAGGAAAAAGCACTAACAGGAACTAGTTTGCAATCAAGTTATAATGACAAAGTACAAAAACATTCTGTATATACCTCAAACATAGCTTCTGTAAGAATGTTTTCTAGTATGGCTCTTAAACCACGAGCACCGGTGTTCTTAGCCATTGCCTTCTTTGAAATCAACCTCAGTGCATTTTCAGTGAAGTACAATTTGACCTGAGAAGCTAAACTGAAACAATTAATACAAAGGTACAACAAATGAAATGCTTGAATCATTTTCTGGAACACCTAAAAAAGCAACAGAAAAGAGAGAAAAAGGTTAAAAAGTTTCTTGACCAACAGTAGAAAAGGATAGAAAGCTTACGCCACTCATGTTAAACATTTTCTTGTACTGCTTACCAAGAGCATTCTTTGGTTTCATGAGGACCTGTTAATGAACAAACAGTTACATTCTGTCAATCATCCTAACAAATATGTCTGAAACAGAGAAATCCATCCCTACAACGTTCTCTAGATGAGGGAGCTCGATGGAGCTGTCCATGTGGCACCCACTTTTGGCTCTCTCCTCTCTTTTACTACTACTGCCCAAACCTACCATTTTGACCTTCCCATTTCACAGAAAAAGGAATGAAAGGACAATGGAAGGGTTGGTGGGGAAAATGAAGATAGAAATCAGTTGGTGAGAAAGAAAGACACTAAACAAGGATCAAAAGGGTCCGGAATAGAGCCTTTTTTCTTCTTTGGGAAGTGTCTTCAGGGAACTCTTTAATGTTACCCTATATAGTATATGTTCACCAAATTTAGCGAATCCATTTAGTTTATTTTGAATTTCTAAACATCACTCAACAATTATATAATTTAATATCACAGGTAGAATACCCTTTCCAGAGCAATATACATGTCCAAGGTCCTAGAACAAAATTCATACTGAGCACAAAATGGAACGCACCTCAACAAGTTGGTCCTCATCCAAAGCAGACAAACCAACTAAAATAGGAAAGCGGCCAACAAATTCAGGAATCAATCCATATGCAATAAGATCATCACTTTCGACCTCCGGATTCATAACCAAGAATGAGGTTAGCTTTCCAATATAGTGAAAAGATATTTAGTTGCATTTTAGCCATATTGAGTTTTGATTCTCACAGATTCCAACAATGATGATGTAACTGCAGCAGTAATCACGGGATTGGTCCTCATATTTTCACGGACAGGTGCTCCAAAGCCAATAGAAGAATCTTGCCGTCTGAGAAAAGAAAACCACAGATAAAATAAAAGTTCAACAAACAATGGGCATGAGTATTAAGGCATTGAATGATAGTGTTACCTCTCTGAAATGGTTTTCTCCAAATCATTAAATGCCCCACCACATATGAAAAGTATATCTTTTGTATTTATCTGCAACATTACGAGGTTAACAACTTAACATATCAATACACTAAAACTGAAGTAAAAGATTTAATAATTCCGGATTCTTATTATATGTTATCCTCATGTGTTCCTTCCAGCTAATAATAATTAGCTGAAGAGAATCCCATATCATTACATATTAAATCAAATGATAGTCATTTAAATTAGATGAAATCAGTAAATTGAATGCGGAATACCTTTCTCCGGAACAATTAGTTTCTGTTTGGGAAATTAAATTTGGATTATGATTTTTTATTTTAAATGCAGTGATTAAAAACTTATTAAATCATTCATTTTCATTTGGCAAAATACAATGCATGAATGAAAGAAGCAATGTTTTACTAAACACTTATTTCCTTTAATCTAGAAATTAAAATTTTGAAACCCTTTGTTTGAGTGAATTTTGGAATCAAAATTCAAGGTATGTAACTTGGAGAAGGAAAGAGAGCTGTATAAAACTAAAAGAGATTTACACTATGTAATAGGATCCTATCCCTATACGAGTGTGTGTGTGTGTTTGCAAATTTGTGCTTTGGTTTACGGCAAAAAAGAAGTCAGTAGAAAGCTACCGATCAAGGGATAAAACTTCCTAGCTTCTTGATAATACTACCATACCACTGTTAGGCATTCAACCTAAAACAAACTGGCTAATGTATGATAACTAGCTAATTAGGGTTTGTGGCAGTTTTCTTATTTAAGTACGGACAAAGTTTTTGAAATATTCTGTGTGTGAGTGAGAGAGAGAGAGAGAGAGAGTGGAGTATACCTGAAAGCTATCACCGTGAGGGTTCCTACGAGCTCCTTTATCAGGCATGGGAACATTCACTATCTGACAACAAAATATTCATCATCTCAGGTGGTGAAAATAGGGGATTCCTTTTCTATATACCGGGAATAAGGGATCATTGCTTTGGTCACAGTATAAGGAGATCCAAAACTGTTTTCAAAATCTATGTATAAGGCAAATTAGTGACAGTATAATGGGATCCTAAACTGATTTCAATTATAGTAAGTAATAACATATAATATGTTAAAGGAAAATACCAATTAGCAAAATAGTTCACTCACTGTTCCTTCCAGCATTTTTAGCAATGCTTGTTGAACACCCTCTCCAGATACATCCCTCCCAATATTTGAACTCTCGGCCTGAAGGAAAAACAATATAAGCTATCAAAATGAATAACCAGCATCAATATGCATGGTTTATTAGCAATTCAAAATACCTTCTTAGTTATCTTATCGACTTCATCAATATATACAATCCCATGCTGAGCTGCTTCAACATCAAACTTTGCTTCCTATACGCCAAGATAATACCAAACAAATTGTACCACTTGATATAAGATACGACAGGATATGCAAAGATAAGGCATAAAATTTCAGAAGCTTAAGAGCTAAAGTACAGTCTCATGCTTCAAGATTACAAAAAAGAGGCAATAAAGATGAAGGGGAAGAAACATTACTAAGGTAAGTCAATTTTGCTCCCTTCAGATATTTATAATATAAAAACAGAAATAACAGTTGAAAGCAAAACATAAGGGAGATGAAGGATAGTGGAGTATCATATTTTCTGTGTATGAGTGAGTATATGTAAACTAGGACATACTACGGGAAGACAACATTCCAATTTATAATGGTGAAACATACCACAGGTAGCTTATACAATATTGATTCTATGTCTTCTACAATTTTGCCTAAATCAGTTTTTTCCACGTACATCACCTTCAATTATTTAATATAAAAAATCAGAACTAACAGAAGAAAGAAAAACATAAGGGAGACGAAAGATAGAGGAGTGTCATATTTTCTATGTATGAGTCTATGTAAACTATGACATACCACAAGTAGCTTGTACAATATTGATTCTACGTCTTCTCCAACATAACCTGCCTGGAGAATAAAAGGCCAAATTGTTAGCAGACCTCAAGCTCAGTAGCAGCAAAAATATATTCCTATCCATACTAAACGAGAAACAAAACCAGCACCGTTTCATTGCACTTCAGAACATGAGCATAAGTAGTCCAAAAAGATCTACAATCATGCTACCTTTTATGTCAACTTTTATCATCGCTTCCCCTTTTAGAGTGCAAAAGATCAAGAAGATAGAAAAAACAGTACATTTAAGAAATTGGTTTCTCATTACAATATAGAGAAGCAATTTCATAGCAAGAAAAATATTTTGACCAGTAGTTCGTTTTCAATTCCTATATTCACACTTCAATGATGCAAAGCTGTCAACGTTGCCCATGCTACCGAATGTATAAACATTATTGTTAATTATGCTCTTTGCTGAAATTAAAAATGTCCTCTAGGACTAACTATTTTTAGAAATCATTCAGTCATTAACAATATATTTGAAACAAAGATTGGCTAATGAGTACATCACTCTTTCCTAGTGCCTCTACCAACTGCAAACAATATGAGCATGCATATGATTACTAATTCTATGTTTTGAACATGAAAATTTTTTATTTGGAAAATGCAATGCATACATCACAATGTGTGCAAGTGTCTTGGAAATGGCAAATGGTAAAGAATGTTGAATTCAGATCTGAGCTGAGGATCTACTTGCCTGTGTTAAATTTGTTGCATCAGCAATGACAAATGGTACATTCACAATGCGTGCTAGTGTCTTGGCAAGCAATGTTTTTCCTGTCCTCATAATCAAGGTTTCAAAATTAAAAAAGGAAAAAAACAATAGAATCAACAAGAAGTTATTCGGAAAATATGACCATACCTGAACCAGTGGGACCTATTAACAGTACATTGCTCTTATCCAGCTCAACAAAATCATTCACGCCTTGTTCATCATTGTCACCCAATTCAGATGCTCTAGCATTGTGAGGCAAATATTCAGTCTAAAAAAGTAACATCAAACAGACCAACAATCTGTTATAGAAGAAATTATATAAACAACTAATTGAGGACTCATTGAGTAATAAACTGATTAAACAAAAAGACCAGAGAGCACTAACTCTTTTTTCTCCAAGGAATGGTATATCCTTTTATAGTGGTTGTAAACTGCCACGGATAGCACCTGTTACATGAGTAGACCTTCAATAAAACAATGAAATTATTTTTTTTATAGGAATAGGAGGTCTCATTAAAAAAAACAATGAAATTATGAATGATAACTGCTGTTGGAAAACTTAACAATGGTATTTTTCCCCCTAACATTTCTCATAAAAAGGGTTATAATAATAATAATTGCAGGCCAAACAAATTTGATGAATGTGAAGTAAGGGTTTCAACTTGGGAGGAAGTTTAGGGAATAGCAGGAACCAGGAGGGGGGGGGATAAAGGTGACTTTCTTTTTCCTCGTTAGTGTTGGAATAGATGTGTTATGATTTGCTGTTTCCTTCTCCTTCAAAAATCAAACCATCGAAAAATTTGAGGAAAGAGGATGCAAATCAAACATTCAACAAAATAATAGTGATTTTATTTAGGATTTTAAGATTTGCTTGCTTCCTTCTTTCCATTATCCATATGTTGTACTAATCATATGTAGTGAAAAACAAAAATCCACTTTCTTTCCTTCCCTCCGTTTTCCTCTCTTCCATTCTAATAAACACGTAGAAGGAATCCTTGGAAAACCTTTTTAAGATGGAAAATCATCATTACCCGTATTCATGAATTAAAACAAACAATGTAGTTATGTCCCCTGAGTTGAAGCATAGTTAACCTTTATTTGTTCAAATTCTGAAAATACTCAACCAAATAGTCATTGAATTCAATTCAAAACAGGCACCAAAGGTAGAAGGAACCACCTTCTTTGCCTTTTGTTGGCCGATGACAAATTCATCCAGCCTCCCACAAATCTCCTTGGGGGTTGGTAATTTCCTCTCTAACTTCCCCGAATCGTCGTCATCTTTGTTGGCATCACAATCATCATTCAGTTTCCGAATCTGTCCAGACTCTTTCCTCGAAATCCCCTCGGCATCTCCTCTGACCCTCCCCAACTCCACGAAGCTCCCCTGCAAGGGAACCAGCTTAAACGGCCGGAAATAGAAGGCGGTCTTACAGTTACGGCAGAGATTGAGAGCCTGGAAAAGACCTGGCTCCCTAACCGTGATGGAGAGTGGGCGATTAGAGAAAAGCACGGGCATCTGACTGGAGCACCGGGGGCAGTTCACTTCAGCCTTAATGTGGTCGTACTCCTCCGTTCCGTCCCATTTTTGGCGCCAAAACGACCAGGACGACGTCATCCCGACGGGGGTTCTACGGAAGCGGAGGGCAGTGTGTTTGACAAGTGATGAAAGCATGCCGCTGGAGGGATTGTTGCTTTGAATTGGAATGGGAATCTATATGGAAGAGAGGCTGTGGCTCGGGAAAACTGGTGCAGACGATGAAGTAGTCTGTTCAGTGTTCACTTCCGTTGAATTACCATTATACTATCGATTCCACGAATGTAAAGAGAAAGCAATTTGTGCTGTTGTTTGTCGGAAAATCGTTAGGTTTCGGTTTAGGACGTCAGAATATAGGGTTCTTTTGGCTTTCAATTATTTCGAGGTATTAGATTTTTGCTTAAACAACACATTTGGTTACCTAATTATTACCATATTTCTGTTTTTATCATCAAACTATCTTTATTTTTATTTTAGCCACTGATGTTAGGATTTTACTACGAGAAAATAACCTCAGTGACCAAAAATCCCAGATAATATACGATTTTGACCAACTTTTTTTGGATTTGCGAAAATGACCAACAAAATCGCAATGCGATCTCTAATTCGCATTGCGATCTCCACTATCGCAAATTCGCGTTGCATTTCGCGTTGCGATAATTGAAAATCGCGTTGCGATAGTTGAAAATCGAGTTGCGATTTTCCATTTCGCGTTGCGATAGTTGAAAATCGAGTTGCGATTTTCCATTTCGCGTTGCGATTTTCCATTTCGCGTTGCGATAGTTGAAAATCACGTTGCGATTTTTCAGTTTGCGTTGCGATAGTTGAAAATCGCGTTGCGATTTTCCAGTTCGCGTTGCGATTTTCCAGTTAGCGTTGCGATTTTCCAAATTCGTTGTGATAGTTAAAAAAAGATATTGTTTCTTAAGAACTTTCTCTAAAAAGATAGTATCTGCGCGGACGTGTCGAAGACACGTATTACCACGACCACGACCACGACACGACACGAGACGGGACGGCGGCGGCGGCGCGCGAGAGTCCCCCTTGTTCTCTATCACTCAACAAGGAAGTGGGAAAGCCAAGCCTTAAATACTATTCTCAATAGTGTTTCCAATACTATGTGGGATTGAGCATTACCAACACTTGTTTCCAATACAATGTGATTATTCAGGAAACAATTAACAATCATGCACCTTAAAACAACTGAATCAGCAACCAATTGCATTAGTATTATACGATTAAATATGTCATAATTAAAAGTCAATCTACAATCAATAGCGATTATTGCAATTTTAAGCAAAACATTCAAAAATAATATCACTATTTAAGGCTCAATCCCACATAGTATTGGGAACAAGTGTTGGTAATGCTCAAATCCCACATAGTATTGGAAACACTATTGGGAATGGTATTTAAGGCTTGGCTTTCACACTTCCTTGTTGAGTGATAGAGAACAAGGAGGACTCTCGCGCGCCACCGCCGTCCGTCTCGTCTCGGGTCGTGGTCGTGGTCGTGGTCGTGGCCATACGTGTCTTCGACACGTCCGCGCGGATACTATCTTTTTAGAGAAAATTCTTAAGAAACAAAATCTTTTTTTTAACTATCACAACGAATTTGGAAAATCGCAACGACAACTGTAGACTATCGCAACGAATTTGAAAAATCGCAACGACATTGTAGACTATCGCAACGCGAAATGGAAAATCGCAACTTGAAATTTGGAAAATCGCAACGACATTGTAGACTATCGCAACGCGAAATGGAAAATCGCAACGCGAAATGCAACGCGAATTTGCGATAGTGGAGATCGCAATGCGAATTAAAGATCGCATTGCGATTTTGTTGGTTATTTTCGCAAATCCAAAAAAAAATTAGTCAAAATCGTATATTATCTGGGATTTTTGGTCACTGAGGTTATTTTCTCTTTTACTACACCGACCGTTAAATTTCTACTAAATTTTAGTAAAGTTAACAATGTGACCTCATATGATAATAATTTTAAAATTTTAAAATTTTATCAATTTAATATATGAAAATTGAGGGAAATATGAATGAATTTGATGACCAAACTTCGGACTTAAGGTAGGTAACACTAATTACTTTTGTTAATTATAGTTTAATTTAAATATTATTTTCGTCAACTATGTCATAAATACACCTTTGAATTAGGTCTCAAGCTCGATTTCCTCCCATTCATCTATATTTTCTTTGATTTTTAATAAAAATATGATGACATATGATACCATCTCATTAAATGGTTAAATTTTTTAAATTATTTATGATTGAGATGAGAATGAAATTAAAATTATATATAAATATTTATGATTAAATTTGTTAAATTACTTTTTAATTGGGACTAAAATAATAAAAATCTATAAATTTTAAAAATTAAAACTATTATTGTAACAATATCTTCATTAAATGACCCGTAACTGTTTTAAAATAAAAAATAGGATATTAATAACCGATTTACTAAAAAGTATGAATAAAATAAAATTTTGTTAACAATTTGATGACCAAAACAAAATTTCATTTATAGTTTAGTGAGAAAACATGTTTATCCAAGAATTTTGTTCCTAAAGTCTCATGTTATTTAAAACGTACCATTCATATTATTTAATCAGAATTTAATAAATTTAAAATCAAGTTATACATTTGAATTTGTTCAATATTTCGAGGAAAAATGGAAATTGTTCAAAAAAAATTTAATAAATTATTACAACGTAAATATGAACAGCATACACAAATCAATGATATAATTTATACAATTTTTTTATAAATTCATAATTTATACAAATTTGAAACTAATTACACGTTTAAAATTATCATGATAATATAATTATATATTTCTTATATTGTATATGCACATGGGTATTCCACTATTCTATATATAGACAATAAAATAAAGATAAACACGAAATAAATTTCCACATGAGTATACTTTATCACTATTTAAAATGATATTTACATATAAAATGTATTCATTTAAAAATAATTCTACCAAAAATACAATTAAAAGGAAAAATAACCTACAAGGCTTTTAACCTTGTGGTCGTTCACGGAAGCTGCTCTCAACCTGGTGTTGGGGCAGCCTACTAACCTACCTCTCCTTTACCCCATTACATATGGGAATAAGGTCAGCTAATTTTAAGAGTCAGAAAAGACTGACAGAGGAAATAACCTGCAGTAGATCCTCTATCCGAAGAAGAAATGTTAGAACCCAAGAGGAAGAGAGCACAACTTAGCAAGCACCGATAGAACCGTGGATAAAGGTTAACACTACAGAGCAAGAAATAAATAATCGGGAGAAATAATTTGTGGAGGAGCTATATGCGATTGTAATGGGAAGTGGTTAAGAGGTTTTGCGAAGAGAATAAGAACGTGCCCAGAGCTCGAGGTTGTGTTAGACATGCATTCATACATCGAGCATAAATACAATGAAAAATGGATCGTTATAAATAGCTCCAGCCATTGCCTACATTGTATGTTAAAATCGGGGATTTGAATGCACCACTGTCAAATACGTCGGACTACCGCTAGACCATCGTCGACCACCGTTAACCACCACGAACCACATTCGAGCACTTCGAACTTGACTGCACAAAAGATATAACCGCTAAGAATCTTCTAAGCACTTAAAACCTCATTAGATGGAATAGATTTTCAAATGCTCTCAAATAGAATGCTTTGGAATGAATGTTTTTCATACTTAAGGACCTTGGTTATGTCTCATATATTATAGTGTGGTTTGGCCATCAAAAACCACCCAAATTCCATAAAAGTGGAATTGCCAAATGTAGGAATTTGCAAGGCGTGTGATGAACCACTTTAACAACAATTTTATCAACTGCTTACAACAGTTTTGTTTAATGGTTACATTCTCTCACTTGGTTCATATTGTTGTGTACATAAAGTCAAAACATAATGCACGAACCATAGCGATATTTTCTCTTATATTTGAGTAATATATTCTATGTATCACAATGTATCATGTCTCAACACTTAGCCAAATTTCTTAATGAATAAACTCAATGTGTATTCTAGCTCCAAACTTTAGTGATATTTCTCGAAATAATTAAAATTAATGTGAACAAAACAAAATGAGAAATATCAAACTTAATAGAGTTTCATTAAAATCGTTCTTACAACGAAAAATTACAAAGTGGAAACAAGCCTCATAGTGACAACATGATCCTTAAATTTATGTGGTGGCATGCCTTTAGTTAATATTTGCTCAGTGTTAAATTTATGACCCTTTAGTTAAATTTATGATCCTTAAATTTAGTTAGAGGATCAACTAATATTTGCTCAGTGTTAATGTGCATAATTACCACTTTATTTTCTTTAACACGTTCTATTATGGCCAAATACTTAATGTTGATGTGTTTACTTTGACTTCCACTTTTGTTATTCTTAACTATAAAGGCAGCAACATAATTGTCATAATATACAGTAATGGCCTAGAAACTGAGTCCACAAGTCTAAGCCTATAAATACAACTCTGTAACGATACACCATGTGAAACACAAAATAAACTTAACCTTAATAGTGGAAGTAGCAGGTAAGGTTTACTTGACACATATATAACTCCACTAGCAAACATAAATATGTACCCTGATGTTGATCTATGTGAATCAACACAACCAACAAAGTCTACAATAACCAATCACCTATAAACTATCTGATTGTTTGTACGTAAGCATGTAGTTATTTGTCCCTTTTAGGTACCTCAAAACTTTCTTTACATCTTTCCAGTGGTCAATATCCAGATTACTTTGATATCTTCCTAACATTCCAAACACAAATTCAATATCAGGTCTTGTACAGATTTGAGCATGCATCAACCTTCCAACAACATAAACATATGGAATATTTTTCATTTGCTCCCTCTCAAAATCGTTCTTTGGGCATTGGTTCAAATAAAACTTATCGCCTTTCACGATAGGAGAAACGTTAGGTGAACAATCTTTCACCTGAAATTTTTCTAAAATTTTGTTGATATATGTTTCCTGAGATAGACCTAATTTTTAGAAATAAATTATTTTACCTCATGTAGCACACCCCTGTCATTTGTTTCAAGTAAAATGTCATCCACATATAGAATAAGGAAACAAATTTTACTCCCACTGATCTTCTTGTATATACATTGATCCATGATGTTCTCAACAAAACCAAATGAAGATATAACTTCATGGAATTTTAAATACCACTGTCGGGAGACATGTTTCAGTCCATATATTAACTTTTTCAAACTGCATACCAATTATTCATCATGGTTAGAGGAGAATCTCTTCAGATTGTTTCATGTGTACC